TGCATTTGTACTGTTGTCAAAATGTGTATAAATATTAGATAGTTTGACTATAGTGTTCAAGAGTTGCGAGAAGCGGGTGCACTTGCGTTTAGGTATATTATGTGTCACCATAGACAAGTAATATTTTGTTGAATAATTTACATGATAGATTATCCCATTATTTTTAGTTTTGATTAATGCATTATAATTTTTCAGTTTTTACATTTAAATAGATTATATTTGACGAAAAAATTAAAAAGTTATTGGATGATCGATCTCGATTTAACTTTTCAAAAAATTTAATTATATTTTCCATTTATGGCTTCCCACGTCAATCAATATGAATACCAATGTTGGTTGCAGTGTAATTGCAAGATAATAAAAAATAAACTGTTTGTGGAAAAAAATAACATTCAAGCAGCTAATGTCATAATTAACAAATCAAATTTATACACTGTTTAAAAGAAAATATTTTTCATGCATATTTTTTTTCTTTGATATCATACTAAAACAAAAAAAAAAATTATTTATGATTCAGAAACATAAAAAAACCGGATTTAAAAACAACTCTTTCTTGGTATTAATAGTAATGGTATGACAAAATTAAAATGCTACTACATAGCAAATATCGTAGCCTTGTATATATCGCGTACTCGTTTCTTCTTAACTATATTGCCTGAGCGGTTATTTTTCACGCGAAACAGTTTTTACAAATCATTTAAGGATGCGTGTGGCGTCTTCTTAATACTTAATACTACAACATTATAAACAAGTCAAACTATTATCCGCAACGTATTTTCGACCCTTGTGATTACGCTACATTCGCAGACACAGTATTAATATGTATGTTGACACGTTATTAATGAAAAGCTCGATAGATGTACAGATATCGTTGAGTGGGCCGGTGCCCGTTGATGAGAACCGACGGCCATTGTAGTAGTTATTATACGTATAGGGTGTGTACACGGGTCTTTGGAATAACAATATATTTAACGCACGTGATGGCGTAGCCGCGACGGTTAATATTTTAGTGGCAGCCTATTACTATATATATAATATATATACATATATATATATAGGTACGACCGACCTATATTATATTATTTATTATAAATTATAATTAATAACATTTATATAAAATATGAGTATAGTTGACGTAAATTCCGGTCGACCGGGAATCTGGTGATTAATTAGGATTTATATTATTAACTGTAGGTACCTTTACAAGTAAACCAACTAACGGCGTATAACAGAGATGTTTATGTGTAAAAAGGATAAAAAACAAAAAAACTGCTGGCGATCAAACGCGTGTCCAGTCACACGAGCTTGGGGCAAAGTATAATGTTTAAACAATAATAATTGCACCCACCTATAGCGCGAACACGCATCACGCACACGACGTTTTAATTTTGTACATTTACGATGTTTAAGCATCCATAAAGCGTTAAATTACAAATTACATAAAAATATAATAATTATTGTACACCACATAGCCGAACCGTTTGACAGCGGATTTACGCGGCGTCGTGTCGTTTTCACCGCCCCGTTTCAGGTGCTGGTGTCATCGAATCCGAAAACTTTTTAATGTTGGTATAATACATAATATAATATTGTAATCGCTTCGATCGATATCGCATAACAATATAATATTTAAGTATTTAATAATATCGTATTTTTGATCACAATATTACATCGTACACGGCGATCCGATTTCGTATTCATGATATCGAAATATTACGATTTACGATTATATGGCGATTAAAAAATATATTGAAATCATATTTTAATACGCCGTGGATTATACACTGTGTAGTAACAACAGTATTGGGTACAACGATATAATATGTTATGATAATAATTAGAATCGTTTACGATTTTTTACGTCGATCGCGCGGACGCGAATCGATAAATTATTATTATTTTTTAAATATATAATTTTTACATCGTAAATAAATGAAAAAATGTATAATTGATAAGTTTTAAACCCACGTAATGTATGCGAGATTTGGGAACGGGCCCGCGGGCGTGTTTAGCACTTCAAGTTGTTATTAAGCACCACTTCCTTCCCCATCACACACTCTGCCGATGTTTTCGTTTAAAATACACATATCTGCAAGTGTACCTAATACGCGTACGGTTAATAACTCGCCAAATTGAATTCGGTCTGATGTGAAATGCAATGAACTAAAATGCCGACGACGTTGTTTCAATCATTTTGATCATTTGCTCCTGTTCAATCGTCGGGGTACGAACGCGTAAATGCATAATATACGACATTCCGACGCGAATCCGCGGAAATGGTATTTGGACACACGTCGCGATACCGATCTGCACTCGACAAACAGCCGCCGTTGCAGATTTCGTAACACGTAATTACTGTTTATAATTATTTAAACGCCCGTCGTTTAAATATTATTTATCTTCTATATTGCCGAGGGCCGCCGGGTCGAGGAAAAACAAAAACTGTGCACAGCACACACTTTCGGACGTTTCTGGAGTAACCGCATCGATGCAGTCACGATTCGGCGCGCTGTACAATATAATATAATTTACCTAATCGGGAAATTCTATGTTTCGATTTTTCTCAAGTAACACAATTATATACGCATTATCGTATTTCGATCGTTGCGCGTCGCATTATATGATATCATATGATATACTTACAGATTTATTAGGTAGGACGACATGCGTGTATCTATACTACCGCGGTGACACTCAAGGCACGTTCAGTTTATAGGTAACACAAGCTCCGCGTGTTCTTAGCTACTTTATGTTATGATATTATTATATTACGAACACACAACCATCTTTGACGGATATTAGTTTTATAATTAAAATACAAACGGAAGGCGCGTAGCTGCATAAATATTTTTACGATTATTGAACGGTAGGATGGATATAATAATAATATGTGAAGGCGGAGTCATTACAGCCGTGTTATTATATATATATATATATACGTGTGTGTGTGTGTGTATAAAAATAATATACATGGAATGAAATTTAAATGTTTTACGAGAAAAACATAATGTAACTCGATAGTTATTTAATAGGTATTCCACATAAATAATTTAAGAAATAAATAAAGCCATAAACAATATGTTAATATACATATTATACACGCACACACTCAAGCATGATAGTTTTGCCGCTACTGTAAACCTATAACATAGTTTCGGCCATAATAGAATGTCACATCTTCAGGCTACTAGTTCAATATGTGTGAATGTGTGTGTGTGTGTGTGTTTCTTATTACCTACCTACATAATATAATATTGTATATATTTTATTTATGTGTATGTATAATGAGTTAATGTGGTTAAAACTGCATTCGTATAATATATTATAATAATGCATACGTTTGGGTGCGTATATAAAGCACGCGTTACGCAATGTAAAGTAATATTTTTTTCGGCCACTTTTGATCATCGTATTACAAGATTTTACGCGTGAACTTCAAACACACCAAACGCCGAACAAAAATCAATTTTTTTTTTTTTTAAACAAACTCATTATTTTGTTGAAGAGTATTAACGGTTTAAATTTAAACACGAATTATTTACGTATAATTTTAAGACATTTTGAAAATATTGTATTTTTAATTGTTACAATAATTTATTATTTTATTTTTCTAGACAGAACAGTTTGCTGAGAATTTCAACAAATTAAAAACCGATGATGAGCGATAAATGATTTTCGGTGGACTGATATTTTTCGGGATACCCGTGTGGTACTCCACTTAACACGATTAAAAAATTTCAAAGCACCGTCGAAAAAATACTGTAAATACATTTTATAATATGCAATATATTTTATGAATAATTAATTACTCGATCGAAATTAGTTTATTACTAAAAACTATTCTGCTTCAGAATATGAAATTAAAAATGTATAAGATGTCGTTCGAAAAAGTAAAAAACTTAAAATGTACGATAAAAGAGAAGCGGTTTTTCCCCAAAAAATATCGTGTTCTAGAAATTACCTTAAATTGTATAAATAAGTATATTTTAATAACGGTCAATACTTTTGGAAAAAGTGAGAAAATGTTAATCTTAAAAGAAACATGCGACTTGTGCGTTAACACAGCTTGCCCCTTCAATAAGTAATATATATAAATACACATACGTTGCTGCCGTTCAAATAGAATAACTAGCCAGTCTGTAAGTCTATAAGCACTGCGAAAATAGCTTATTTGATTGGGACGTTCAGAAAACATATTACGCAAAAAATTACATTAATATTTTACTGTTATGTACTACCCAAGCATTTTTCAAAAGAAAAAAATGTATACCTACTGTGTACTCCATGTCTGTAGAACGGGAATTAAAGTTTGAAAATAAAATATGAGCAAAACGCATCATTTTTTATAATTTCCACTTAATAAATTTACAAACCAATCTTCACAATATTATGTATCTGATATCCAAGTCCTAAGGTTGTATTATAAGTTTTATATTTTCTAGCAGATGTCTTGTAAAAAATTACACTTTTGATTGTGGGTACTCTATCAGTAAAATAATATATATAACTTTAATCTATTGCTTTAATAAAATATATTATATTAATCGATTCAAAGCCCAACTAAATATAATTATACTATTGTACCTAATCGAAATAAATAGGAACATTTTTCGTACACGGCTACACTAGATATGTACAAAATCAATGTTATGTTTTAATTCTGTGAATTTCTTAATAAAATAATTTAGTCTGGATAAAACAGAGTAGCACACTTGATTGATTTTAAATATCATGACCCAGTAAAAGCAATTCTACGACTTAAGTTAGAGTTACTAGAAAAAACATCGAGTCACATCATCCAAAAGTTCACTGACACAATACACAACATGCAGTTAAATATGATATTGCAGCAATAGTAATACTAAGCAATTTTTATTTATAAAATTGGTCTTCTATTTTTTGATCTAATATATTCCCTTTTCGTCGTAAATACAATGATGAGAAGCGTGGAGGACAAGACTATATATTACATATATATATAATAATAAAATTGAACTTACATTTGGCTTTTTTCTTTTTTTCAGACGTCGAACGTCGACAAAACCCAATGACGGCGAAAATCATAATCATGACTATGATTCCGCCCACGGCACCAATAATTGCCAAAATTAGCATAAAGTCTTCTGTAAAGAAAATGCAATGTATAATAACTAACAAATGGAATAATGCGTGTTTTTCGGTTTTATATTACATGCATTTTATTATACTCATGAATTTGAAAAAAAAAATGATTCGATCGCATCTGTTAGTAAAGAGTTTTTTACATGGTATTTAGGCTAAATATTAGTTATTAAACATTATATTAGATTTTTAAGCCTAAATCGAGCAATGTTTATTCTTCTACATCGTTCGATCAGGCGATGTGATTTTTATATTGAAATCTAATTTGGATCGCTTAATAATAAACTTTAGATCCTACCAACGAATTTTTCAATTTATTTATACAAAGGTTGAATATATATTAGTATATTTTTATTATTTAAAGCCAAATATTGATACATAGATTTTATGGTTAATTTTATTAAGTATTGTTTCTTAGATGACAAGTAAAACGATGATCTAAACAAATTTTTAAAATCTTAGTAAGAAAATAAGTATTTTTTATCAAGAAAAAAATCCATTTCGAATACAATATAATATAATTGTATTTTATAATAGACGTAGTGCATGGTTTTCAAAGGCACAATTTTTCCTAAATATTTCAGTCAAATTAGTACAATGAGCATTTGAGCACCCGAATCGAGCGTATAACTTACTTTTTGGCACCAGTACAATGATAATCGAGTCGGATCCGTAGTCATTGGATGCCGTACAGTTATAGTCTCCGAACTGTTCCTGTCTCGAGTTCCTAATAATCAGCGTGCTCTTCACGCCATCTTCTGTTGGGTCTTCCAGTACCTGTATAGTACACATATATAAAATCATTATTATATATTGATATAATTATTGTTATAATGCATATATTTAATTTATCATTTTGTCTTATAAAAAATAAAAAAATAGCGGCGAAAAATACAACAGGCTACTGCCTATTGGCCATTATATACTATGTCTATATTACTAGTAATTGTGTTTAATTATTAGAGAATGGACATAATTATTATTATGGACTTAAAATACAACAGTTCGTTTGGTATAAAAAAAAAAATCTCCTAAAACAACATCTAGTCCAACATTTATATTAACTAGACACGATATAGTTTTTGTAATTATATCTCTTCTATAATTAAAACGTAAAAATATATGAATAAATGGTTTTTTTTTAAGTAAATCATCGATATTTACGATTGCACCTGAAAAACAATAGTTAAATTAAATTTAAATCTTTTGAAATATTCTAATGTATTAACATTGTCACTGACTTATACATATATTATAATTTATTCTTTAAAATTGCATCACATATATTTTAGTGGTATTGGAATTTCCATTCGATTTTCTAATTAAAAAATGATTTCTTTTAAATAAACGTGCAATAAAAAAAATAAACAAAAGCATATTTATTATTAAAATATTTTTAGTAAGAATAATAATTCTTAAAAATGATTTTAAAAAACTATAAAATTAATTTAGTATCAAATCTAGTATTTTTTATTAACTATAAATATTGATCAAATAAAAATTATTAAAAGTTATAAAAATTTTCAAAATATTATAGCTCACATATATACTCCAAACCCATTATTATAGAAATGTAGGAATATAAAAATATCCTTAACCGATTGAATTAATTAACTCGAAAACTACTCGTTTGAGTTTTGATCTCGATACGTTAATATTTTTAGAAAAATTATGTATATATTTTGATAAATAATAGTAGCCAAAACGAAAAGACGCGCGGAAATCTAGCTGATATCAAATTTTTACTATTTATTTGCTCTACATTCAACAAGAAACTACAAGAAACATGGGACTAAAAAACACACCTATCAAAAGTTGTACCTCATATAAGGCATACTCGCGAGGTGTTACCACGATATGAATAGGCGAGACACGTGGTGGACCACTATACATGTATAGGACATGTATAGGCTGTATTCTCATAAATACTCGTTATTATATTTGGTTTTGGAATCGGTTCAAAATGCATAGACGAAAATATGTGCTGTATAATATTTATTACATATATTTATATAGGAACGCGCATTACACACACATAAATATATTATATTCGTGTACAAATGATTTACGCGCTGACGGTCGATCTCATTTTTGGTATGCGTTTCTATTATTATTATTATTATTATTATATCGTTGTGTATGGTTCCGGCAGCGACAATCGTAATTTTAGACGGTACCTAGTTTTTTTCATGCACGTTTAAAACAGGGGAGACTCTAACGTGACGTCGAGGTGTAACTGTATTATATACGTACGATCCCCAAAACGCAGTCTTATTTATATATATATTTTTTTCCATCACATTGACATATAGGTTTAGGGGTTAATGTTAAACTGTTATTCTTAAGATCTTTTATTTTTTAATTGTATTTGTTATTTTTGTGGCGAGTAAATAATTTTTAATTTTTCATATTAGTTTAAATGTAATAAATGTATTAATTGTGAATTTGGAAAACTTTTCGCTTCTTACACAAGATTTGCTTTTAGAATCGAATTATTTCATTTTCCAGTTCAGGTATAGGTAATATATGATCGCAAGAGATATAATAACGAGACAATACGAATAAAGGATATTGATCACTATACATTTTATTATCGTTAAAACTTGTTTTACTTGAACGAAATTTTACGCTTGACAGACTGTGCAGTCGATATATAGTGAATTTCACGAGTAAAATATAAGTAATTATAGCAGTAGTTAACTTACTATTCGCTCAATATTATGTTACCGTGTTACATAATAATAATGATAATAATATGACATTGTTATTCGTACTCAAATTTGTGTGAACACAATAATTACCAAATCATTATTATTATATTTAAACACCATGCCGGAACATTGCAGTTTATACAGAGTGATTTACCAATTATGACATTCCCAATTTATTTCACTTAATAATGAATTTATTCAAATTCTAATTTATGGAATTTTGAAATAATATAGGTTCTGAAAGACCATATTTTAAATTTATCATAGCTCTCATATTTTCCAAATAATTCCAATAAAACGAGCATATTATTCTTAGTACTCAATGTTAAATAATTAAAAAATTACTTGTTCAAACTTTGGTTTTGATATCTAAATCAAAATTTTCAGAAAAGTTATTCGCTAAATACTTTAATGAAAATAGGGTTCTCATTTTAAAAACAGAAAATTTTCGTTACTCTGTGAGACATTACCTGAGTGTTACAAAAATTAAAAGAATTTGAAATAAATCTCCGAACATATTGTGTATTAAACATTCCAAAATCAGAATTTGAATGAATTCGAATTGTTACACGAAAAAACAGGGGTAAAAATGCTTGGTAAATTGGAGTGTTTGGTGGCACTCTGTATATTTATAAAATGAGTATTAAAATATACAAATACGGTTGGTTGTACGGATTTAACACCGACTCCTCGGGAGAGGGCGTGGAGTTCCGATAATTGGCGTCCCGTCCCTCGGAAATTATTATATTATGCATATATATATAATAAAAATAAAATATACGCTATACATGCACGACCTCCGCCGACTGTTTGCACGTATTATTATGATTTATATAATAAAGCAATTATTGTTATTATGATTTATATAATAAAGCAACTACTGTTATTTCATTGTATAATAACAATAGCATAGTTTAGTATGTCTTTATAAAATCAATCCTTTGAAGCGTTTTATTATTACAATATTATTCATTGTAGTCTTCGCTGTTGTCAATATCACAAGAGTAACAATGAAAACAAGGATTGTGAAAAAGCATATGATTTTCCGGCGTTTAAACGTGAAACCTTTATTCAACGTTGTACAGTGACATCCGCGTTGATTTTTTTGTGCCTACCAGTGTTTAGATCTATACAGTAAATCTATAAAGTAATAATGTATTTAATCAAATTCTGATTTTTAAAATATTTAAATAAACTAAGAAACTATGATTTAAAATTCTTAGGAATTTCCGTGCTATTTAAGTGGTTTTTGTGACGATGCAATAACTTCTGTTTAAAATACATATAAGTCATATTCGGTTTGTAATGAATTAACATTATGTAAAATGCTTAATTGCATTTAAAAGGCAAGCGTTTACGAGTAGGATCTTAAAAGCAACCTCCCTCAAATTATCCGAGATCTATTCATTCGAAAACTACATACCTAAAAACTAAGTTTTATTCTTAAGATAACTAAGAATAGTCCAGATAATATTAATATATCTTACAGGTATTTTTAAGTTATACGTTTATATAACCAGTAAACTGTTTATTATACTCTTTACATGCACCGATATCACTCTATATATGTATATATAATATATACATATTATATGTATAGGCACTTAGACTAATGTGTGTAAGGGTTTTTTTCTGTATCGTCTCGGAACAAAAAATAAAATAAAAAACGTATACTTCGATAAAACTAAAAAACCGCGTATTTCTTCGTTTTAGTCAAACCGCGTTTTTATGTATTTTTTTTTTCATTTTACGATTATATGCGAATTTCAAATTCTTAAAACGCTTCGGCATAGTTATTTGAACGTTTCGTCTTGCAAATGGTATTTTTCGTTATTTTTTTTTTTTTTTTTTTGGACCAAACGTGCAATACGAGTAATATAATAATAAATAATAATATATTACACCATTACTGGTCTCAAAAAATGGCTGGCTTTGGCTTTTGCCTTAAGTACAACGTGTTTTATTGCGATAAAGTGCGCTGTGCATATATTATTTTTTATACTTTGGTATTCAAATTACAGATTTTTGATTTAATGCTTAAACAATAGGTTTAGTTTGATTCATAATATAATTGATAAGGACGACCGTCAAAATGTATTTAGCGTCATGGAAACATTATATATAAAAATAAGATTTGTTTAATGGTTAGCACTTTCAATTTTTTCAAAATATTTTGGCTTAATTTAAAACCATTACAAAATAAAATTATTTTTACTAGTATTCGTAGTTTTAGCTCATTTTAATTATTTAATGATAGCATATATTTTTTAATTAACGTTTAGAATCTAAATATTTTTTAAGAATTGTAACGTATAAGTAAAAATTGTTTTTTTTTAAATAGTAACTAATAAGTTTTAAGTATTAATTATTTGAATTTTAAATAATCGGATTGGAGTTGGTTTAACGCATCTCACAAAATGTTTATATCCTCTATTTCGGCGAACTAAATTTTTAACGCTTATTACTTATTAACTAGTACTTACTCTTTTAAATTTCGATTTTTATTGAAATTTCCAAAAATATATTATAATTTAGAATATGAAATCAAAAATTCATTAATGATGATAAAAAATAGAAAATGTTCTATTTCTTTGATTAAATTTCAAAAAATAATTATTATAGTTATTTCAAAAATTGAGTTTTAAATCTTGTTGTACTTTCAAAACAATCAACCTTGAATTAATTTGAAAATATATTACAGCGTGTTTTGTTGGTTTTCTGAAGATAAATAATTGTATGAAATATGATTATTTACAAAAATAAAGGAAATCATAACAATCTAATATAGTTATTCGAATTTCTCATCTGTATTCTACACTAACCGCTTTTACAATTAGTACTAATAAATAGTGATTGTCCAGGAAAATAAAAAAAAGAGGCACCAAACAAATAAATAAACAACAACCATGAAACAGGCTAAAAACTTGTTGACTGAGGGTAATTATCATTGAAAATCGATCTTTTTAATCAACTCGAGCCGATTTGTGGAAATGCAACGCAAACAACCGATTATTGATACTGCTACAGTACGAAATTAAAAACTATATTTTCTTTCACAATAAATTGTATAAAATTACAACATTGAAAGCGAACATTTGTAAACTAATATTGTCCTTAAAAATAAAAAAAATTGGAAATATGCATGATTAAATAATATAAAATAATATGTTTCTATATGTTATTTTATACTTTTAAACGGGTAAATTTAAAATATACCTACTTAAACGTAGCAATTTAAAAATATATTGTTTAAACAATCCCTAACCTACCCGTTAATAGTAATTTCACAACTGTGATTTTGTTTTGAAAATGCATAAAATCGGTTTGACATAGATAAGATATGCTGTATTGTATAACATGTCTTTTAGTATGACTTCTGGACTGAAATTCTTATAATAAAATCGAAAATAAGGTTAATACTTTTGAGAAATATGCATATTATTTTTTTGTTATGTACTTGTATACTTTATGTTTTGAAACAGGTTATGCTAAAAATAATGTGGCAATATACATACTCTTAAAATTGTTAATCATGAGATGAATTTATGGCCTATCTACATGACAATAAATCAAACAAGCTAACAGTAATATAAATAAATTAAAAATACGCGAATGCAACAAAATTCGAACAGAGACACTCGCTGTCTTAATATATTAATATTAATAATTCATAATCGTGGGCAAGTATGTTTTTATGCCGTTAAATGTTGTTATTCTTTCCTATCACATATTTTATGGAATATTTCTTCCGTATTATGTACCTATACTATTGATACAAAAAAAGTCACAAAAAATATTTTACACGATGTGCGTAATATTGTATTTAACCTAACGCGTTATAAACCGTTGACCGAGAGGTACTCACCGAATAATAGTTTTGATCGTTCCTGGTGCCGATGACGGTGCCGTGGTAAGTCCAAACTATTCGGTCGGCGACTGGCACGGACGAGGCGACGCACTCGAGCCGGACTGTTTCGGACGGTGTGCCGTACTGGATACGAGGACTGTTGATGACCGGCTTGCCCCTCATGAACACAGATGCCTCAGCATTTACCTCCCCTAATCCTAACGTGGTGGCTTTGCAGTGGTACCGGCCGATGGTTGTGTTTGTCACAAGCACCGTCAAGTTGCTGGTCGTACTCATCACCTGCGGCCAAACAATGGAGTTATAAAAAATATACGTAAATATATTATATTACATTATAATATATAGGTATACGACTTTATGCGTATTAATTTTGGGTTACGAGGATGATATACCGCCGAGATGCGTTTGTACGGGAAGACGAGACGAATGCATAACATAGGTACATGCGTACATGTAATATAAAAGTATAGGTATCATCGTATCACAAAATTTGGAAAGTTCATTTGAAATATGAACTAATTTAGTTGAAGCACATCTAATAAAATTCACGAACTTATTTCGTTTAAGTGCACGCGTAAATGTATTTACAAATTCATTTTTTTTTTTTTTACAAAAATACTTATTTATAGTTTCACCTTGCATCTCAATGATTCTATAAATATCATATTCAATAATAAGATAGTGTCATAGTATTTAAATAATTAAACAGTATTTAAATAATTAAGAAGTATTTCAATTTCGACTTGTTTAATTATTTTATATATATACTATTGATAAGTTGATAATATAGAAGATATAATAATATTAACTGGAAAATTAGTTTTAAAATAGAATTAACTTTCAAGTTTTATGTTAAATAAAATTAAAATTAAGTTGATGCACTTAAAATATGAACTTAATTCATTTTCGTCCATACGTTTCAAACTTTTAATAATGAATGAGTTCATTCCGAATTCTGAGATAATCTTGTTTATATGGGTATCAGTAAGCATTTTAAACAATAATTATATTAGACAATAAATGATTAACGCTTTTTGTTCTGAATCTGAATGCGTAGGACGATGACAGAACTTACGTCTTTGCACCGCCCTTCCTGCCTTTAACTTGGTTTTGACTGATATGTCATGGGAGGGATTAAAAAAGTATATAACTTATGAACAAAATATTCACCATCGTATTATGCGTGATTAGAACTTTCAAAAACAATTAGAATAAATGATAAATATTACCCCAGGGCCATCAGGTGTAATTGCCACAATAATAATATTCTACATACTGTGATATAATATCAGTTCACCAACTCACTTTTTTTTGTTTTCTCAAACGTCCACTCGATGGTTGGTGGTGGATTGCTGTCCACATCACATATAATTGATACATAACTTCCGGTATCCGCTTGGACATTTTTCGGTCGATTTTTGAACTGAGGTTTATCTGTGTAAAAGAAAAAAAAACAATAAATTAATTTTGTACTTGTAATTGTATGAAAAATTATTAAGTGGAAATACGCGAAATATTTAGCCGACAACATGGAATAGAAATATAATATACTGCAACTTTGTGAGTGACGAAACAATTAATATCACAACTTAATTTCCAAAGCCTTATTTTAAAAACTGAGGTCCTAACGCTAAAGTTGAGAATTTTATACTACCGCTATGCTGCTGTATAATACTGCAACGACGAGATTGACTCATCAAGTGAAAATACCAATTTGGAAAACTCTTAGACGATATTTTTTGACAAGCATACAAAGATTAACGTTACTTAAACTGATACTTAGTTTCTGGACATAGGTCCATAACACCTCGGGTGAACAGCGAACCATATTATTCACGATGGGACTTTCAAAAATCACGTTGACGCCACTGATCTACGTGTTAGGTACTATATTATGGTCTATTAAACGATATCTTACAATATAATTATATAACTGCAATGGCCAATGTTATCATCAGATTTAACTCTCGAATAATAATAATTTTTTCTGTGTTTACTATCAATGTTATCAATTTATTGGTGTAGTGATGAGTAATGTTTATTGCAACGATGCCGAAAAAGTTCACGACAACGGTGTAAGTACTACAAATCTGAAAACTGTCGTCAATGATGTATGGACAGTTTAAAAAAAAAAATGTTGTCGATCACGATGACTTCATATTATTATTCGTTCGTCGCGTATTGGTTAATAAAATGATACACAACCGTCGAAACGTTAATAATTAAATTTTTTTTCACCATCGGACCTTCTAAATAATATATATATATACGTATTATTATTATTATTATATTACAAAGATTGCGGACGTGTGCAGCACTACACGAATTCGACGTTGCGTAATTAAAAACTAGTAATTAAAATGTGGTTTTGATCAAAAAAAAAAAAAATAAAAATAATAAATAAAAATAAAAATATAAATGTGAAAAAAATCTGAATCGTAAAATCAGCTCTGGTGAGAAACCGCTTTGATTTCCCGGGGACCGTGACAGGCACGACGAGTTCTCGGACGTGCACCGTGTTTAATACACACGCACACTTACACAAAAAATGACTGCGGTCAATGATTTTAACACATTCGAAATTTATTATTACTAGGTAATACTTGAATTTTATTTTACTACACGTTTACAGGTAACCTAACGCTGAGCAGGTGTACATTAATCGGTATATTTATCGAGAGTCAGCCGCGACGTCGTTTTGTAAAAATGTCCTACGAATTGGTACCGAAACATCATATAATTATACTAATATGTAAGGACACTTACATTAAATTTATAATCAACAAGGATTTCCTATGGTAACTCACTTTCGATTATGTCGCTATAGAGTATATCTCTCACTACATCTATAGTATAGAATGTAAATGTCTTTATACGCCTAATTTTATAAGAACTCCTGTGGTTGTTTTCTTAGTTCTGAGAGGGGAGGAGGTTTAAAATTTAACACAGAATCAACAAATTGTTTGATTTCAAAAAAGAAGAAAAAAAAGCATAATGTTTTGATAAGTTCACAAAATTCAAATTGTCAATTTTTCTTTAATTCCTTCGTCGTTGTTGAGAGGAGATTTAAAATTATACGCTACACTACATTTTAATTTTTTGCCATTTCACTCCTCTTTTTCCATCGCTGTTTTAAATATTTCATAAACAAGCAATAGCTAAAATAACATTAAATGAGCATACTTGAGCATGAAAAAGACCATTTAAAAATATTATTATTATATGCACTATTATCATTGTTCTATTTACAATATTATGATAATTAATTGGAAAGTCAGTAACTCCAGCCCATGATGTAGTGCAAATATTTTAACGCTGTAATATAAAATATAGCTTGATGGCCTCCTTTTTACCACAATTCATAAAGAAAAAAAAATAATGAAAAAAAAGTTTATAATTTTCAATTATTTTTAGTTAAAAATGATTGCTGCAGGCTTTCCAGATTAATGCACACTGTGTATAGATGTATACATCGAGCAGGTTTATGGCACGTAATTTTCGAATGTTTACGACGTTGATTGTTCGTATTACAGGAATAATATTAATGTTAGTAATCATTCTATTTATTACGCGTATTATATTTGAATGATCTCTATGACCGCCTATGATAATTTTTCAAAATAATTTTTAGCGATTTTGTGGAAAAAAAATGTTGGGGATAAACATACTTTGTATAATCGTGTTTTTTTTTTTAAATTTTAAAATCAAATACAGTTAATATAATTTTTTTCAATTTTGATGTAATAATATCGAATATTTGAAAAAATTATTAATATTTTTTTTGTATATATAAACGAAGTAGTGGCCCACAAAGTTTAAGAGGTATCATCCCTATCCATCTTTTACTCTGTTCTAAAATGTTTAAATATAATAATAATAAAAGTTAAAACTTTTTACAACAACAGTGGTTAAATTGAGTACAGTGTTATAAAAATAATAATTACAACAATAGACTTGGTGAATAAAATAACTGTTTATTTCAAAACCGCAACAGCATTCATTTAAAGAATTGTTAGGGTAGTTACCATTGTGGCGTCACGTGAGTTTCAGTCTGTCGAATGTCGAGTTAATAATTGAATCGCGCGGAACAATATAAGGTGATGAGGACTTTATTATGATATTATATTATTACATATTTACACGCGCAAGGATCATGTATATCTAATTATCTTATTTTATTTTATTTTAAATGCATACGGTCTGAGCCTTTTTATAAATTTAATATATTATTGTATCATTTGTATCTATGTAAAATATATCATACGTCTGCCGAAATCAGGGTTATTCCGCCCGAGCAAAAGCAGCTGTTCGATTCCATCGAAATTAAAAAAAAATTGACTACCATTTCTGTCGAAAATGATTGCGAATCGTGAGCAGAATTATATATATAAAATAAATTTAACATCTGTTTAAAACAAATTTGGCGCCTACGAAATGTTTCGAGTTCCCCTTTTTTCATTTTTTTAACACGACTGTGAGTCAGATGAATAAATCTAATTTATACTACTTAACGATCAATTGTGTAACCATGATCGCATCAAAACTGCCATACAACGTTTATGGAGAAAAAAACGCATGGTGTTGCCTAGAATAATTGTTCGCATATATTATATATTATACAGAATGTTCCATATGACTTATTGCTCATGAATTAAATAATTTTTTAAGTAGTTTTTTTTTTCAATTAAGTATTAAACTTTGTGTAATAAGGATAAAAGCTTGTGATTAAAGGTGTGAAAAATATATAGGTATGGGAACTATGACAGTTTAAAAATTATATCGAATAAAACTATCTATTCACGTATTACCTATAAAAGTGTAATAAGACATATTATTCGTATGTGCAATAGTTATTAAGAACTATTTTCCAAAGTATCTATTATCTATACACATACATCTAAATTTTCTTGGTAATTTCTTGTTAAAATTCTAATTTAGATTATAAACATTTTCAATAAAATCACTTGTCTAATGCCCTAATGATAAAATGGAGTTTTTTAAAATAGAAGTATTTGTATCATAAAGGAAATCTTTTAAATTGTATTAACAAATCTAGGTACCTAAATACTTAAAAATACGATTTTTATACACATTGAAAATGTCTAAGAATCAGAATTTGAGTAAACGGATTATAAAAGAGAAGTGAGCATTGTGATTGGCGAATCACTCTGTATATAGTAGTCAGCCGTGTCGATGAAACAAAAACCATATTAATAATATATAATTTATATATATATATATATATATATATAAGTATACTACATTATAATACTTGTTATCGCCTATTAATATTATTATGGTAGTATGTCTGGTAATAATTATACTGCGACAGTGACTGGGAAATGTTACGGTTTCATGAATATATATTATTATTATTTTTATACGGCGAGGCTTTTCCGAGAAGACGTGTAAGCGGGAAACTCGAAAAAATTTTCATCGCTTCGTAGTCACGTCGTCGTAAAATATTGACAATAATATATGTTGAATTTATTGGAAAAAAATATAATAGGTATTAAAATTCATCGTCTCGACTTGCGACAGAACGACCGTAATTATAATATTATACATTTTACAAAATGTAGATAATATGTGGGGTGTGTCTTTTATCATGGGAAGCTTGATTTCATATTATTTTTATGATATGTCCATATCCTCCACGAAACATAAACGGGCTTCTTCTACAATCGGGTTATGTGTCGTAATTGCATGTAATTATATTGAGCGCTGTGCGATAATCTTTAAGTAATTCAAGGGAAAATAAACGGACCGCCAAAAATATTTTACATCAATGCTGTTTTTATTTTAATTATTGATCTTGATATAGACTCCAAGAAGAATAACTTGGTAAAAAAAAAAAATAGTTTTTTGGAGCTTGAATTTTTTTGTTAAATCATCTACCGTATATATATAGGTATAGATAAACTTTTTCGAAAGTGTTTCTCTAATCACTAAAATATTGGTATATATATTTAGTATTTATATCATATATGTATAATGTATATATGCAATTGTACCTATGTATGCGTGCTTCGTTTATACTATGACATGTACAAATGCGCTATAAACCAACTTGCAACGACAGTGTTGCTGTTGTATTGATGTACATATAAGTAAACTTTTTCAGAGTCAGGTGGTTTTGCGATGACGAGGGCGTTATGTCAGAAAATACTGTTTTATCGGAAGAAAATAAAAATAAGAAAATCGTCCAACTCTCATTAAAAATATTAATGAATAATTACGAAAATAAAATGACAATGATATATTTTGTAAAAAAAATATATTATTATGCAAATTATATATTATAAACTATAATGACACAATTTTTCTGGGAATCAACTTCACGTTTAAAATATGAGAACCATATACTTATATAGAAATATTGTAAAAAATATTATGTGGCATTATGGTAGTACATGCTCGAAATCTCTGTATCAAATTAAAATTCAAACGAATTCCTCTAAGGTATAATTTTTATTGTATGAAGAAGAAGCGAGACAAAGAAAAAAAAACATCGACAAATACGTATATTAAATTTTTACAGTCCCACGTATCCGTCCATGCAAACTTACGGTATATGTATAATAATATGTACGCGTGTAATATTATTGTGTATGTATACCATAGAACACGTATTTTTCGGTTATGGTGGAACGTCGAATGAATAATATCGGTTTCACACAACGTACACACGTGATGTCCACACTGCACGCGTATACGCCCGCATCTGTTTAAGCTCTGAACGTGTTCGGATCTATTCTATATATATATATATATATATAGTTGTGATGACATATTATTTTACATCACGATATTATAATACGAAACGATTATAGTATTATACATTATTATCATAATATTTGTGTGACAAAAACCATCGAAATCCGAATGCGACCGTCGCCGTTCGATCGTTTCACGCGATTCGCATAAAGTGCTTGTGAGGCGCATAAACAACATAATATTATTATTACGACGAATCTGCTGCAGTCGTTACACGGCGACTCGGTGTTACCCGTGTTATATTATTTTTGTCACGAATCAAATGTATAAATATACGAGTACATAATATACCAACCACAATAATGTTTGATGTTGACCACCAGTCATCAACTATATTATATTGGATTAGGTACAATTTTTGTTTCACCCAAACACCCACAAATTCTCACTGTGGTTTTATTTACGACAAAATTTTAACAAACAGATACATATTTTATACTCGTGATGGCCGAATTGTATTTTGCAAATGAAAAAATTACATATTACCTATTTCTTTAGTACAAAATAATCAATACAAATAATATTTTAATGCGTTGACGTTATACTATAAGCGCATGAGTTGTTTGTGTCTTACTGGCGCACACCATTGCAAATTCAACTCGTCAGAAGATTCGTTTAACTCTGTTTATTTTTGGTATTAGAAAAATAATAGACCTATAATAAAATTCAAATATAAGAATATTACCTAAGGCACTGCGTAGGTTTCTTCGTAATTTTATTTTGAACTAGGTCATGCGAATATTTTAAAATTATACATTTTTAAACTTCATGACTTATTGTATCAAAATTAAAATATCAAAAAAGTCTAGAGTCAGGGCTTCGGATAAATATTATTTTTACTTACAATATGCTTAAATTCATTCAAATATAAGAGTCGAATGGATTATTCTGTACGATAACATATCGCTATGGTGCACTATTGCGGTCTATCTACAATCTACATCGTAGAATTATTGTAAAAAAATAATAAATATGATCTATGCGATTAAAAAATGTATAATATGACAAGAACTACTATACAAAATACCTCCTTTACAAGTTTGGAAAAAAAAACTAGACGCGTGTGTAACTTTCGTCTTCTGGATATTTTTATTTTTTAAAGAATAACAATATGCATCAAGTATGTGTCACATTATATTATCTCTGACGACCAATGGTCGTGACTCGTGACTGTGACAAACAGTAGACTAGACGGGTAATTAACATCGGTGATAATATTATTTCAGCGCAGACATCCCGGATGGATATTATGTCTTTCGCTCAAGCCCATTTTTTTTCTTTTATTGTTATTATTTTATTTTTACCACGCGCAAGTCAAATCATTTTTCGTGTTTTTATGCATGCATAATACTTGTCATTCGTTCAATACGACGGTTGTTTGCTACGATACCGAACACTTATGCATATCTATACAAGGTACGCATAACATTCCATAATATACTGAAGTCTAATAATTGTTGTCTATGACGTAAGGATTGTACGGGATTTAGCACCAACCTCTAAGGCTGCGAGTACACATTGTTTGAGCATTTTTCGATGAAGGAATCACTATAAGGATATTAATATATTGTGTAATTTATCATTGAAGCTGCATCTGACTTATGAAAAGATATAGATACTATAGCTATAGCTAATTATATCTAAACGATATGCTGGTATGCGCACCGTGAAGATTTATCACAAATCGAAATCGCGATTTTCGCATTAAATTATACCATTGATTAAAAATAATCATAGTAATTAGATATAATTAGTATTTATAATCAATGAAAATATGGTATTATGTCAACGGGGTACACATGTACAATAGGTGCTAACAACTATACATTATAATGACTAAAACGTAAAAAAAAGAAGATATCAAGAAAAAAAAAATATATAAAAAAAAATAGCATTTTCAACAGAGCATAATTCGATTTAATATATAGGTGTATAATGTTATATATGAAAAACGAAATCGATAGAAACTTCGTTTACAAAATCCGCACAAAACGTAACGTGCGATTATTAATTTAATTTTGTCAATATTCGCCACGGATGAATGCGAAACGTATTCGATTTACAACACATATAGCTATAGTAAGCAGTAAGTACTTAAGTCGCCGCTGCAACCGTCTAGAACACGTGTAAATGTCGTCATCGTTCCGAAACGCACTGCACGTGAGTACATGTGTTACATCCGTACATGTAGCATATGTATATACATTGCGGCGGTCTTCTCTGTTACGTGACATTTAGATTTTATTGCTTGTGTAATAATATATACGGCAAAGGAAGAGCACAAGACGAAATAATATAGAAATAAAAATAGACACATTGAAGAATCGAGTGCTCGAGAGCTGCAGACGACGACCTGCGATGAACCACGGTAGCGAGTTTTAAATTATCAAAGTATTATCTGTTTCTGATTAAAATACTTAAACATCTCAAACACTCCCATAATATATTATATATTATAATGTAACATAATTATTACTACTACACGAATGTGTGTGTTCACGGTGCTTTATACATTTTCTAAAAGCGTTGTAGCGTATGTATTTCAAAATCAAATATATCAAACGAGTATCTTTTCAAACGAGAATTTTTTTTAATTGACTTATAGACGACTGTTTTGAAGTCTAGATTTAATGAGTGTGACTAAACTTTCAATGCGTTCAACATTCGCGGAATTCAAATGTCAACATTTTTTAAAAATTTTTCTTCCCTAGATTAAAATATAAAAATACATATCGAACTTCTATTTTAAAGTTAAAAATCTAAATTGGTCTACCGGAAAACACGAAAAAAAAAAAATGGATAAATGTTTCAATAATTATAGAGCTTATAGCTTTAAGTAAAATAATAAAAGAAACGTATGTAATATGTACATGGGCGTACACGAGGACACTTGCCTCCCCTAGCTGCCTCACCATCACTATGCCCATAATTATATATATCTCAAATATTAAAAATGAAAATTTTGGGATAATGATGATTTTGTGCTCGTTATCAATGCATAATATCTCTGTAAGTTATGTATGTGCGTTGATTCCGCATATACCGTGGATAAGGAACACTTTAAAACTGAGTATTTTACGAATATTTTTAAAATTAGTTTATAGAACATCAAACTATCTAACAAAAGGCTGTGCATTTTTTCTGACTTAAAATTTATATACATGGTCAACATAGCTTCATTTTTTTTCAAGCGACAACTCCTATTTTTACACCATATTCGAGTTGGTTACATTTTTTAAAGTAAATTTGATGTATCGTTTCGTATTTTATGAATTCAAAATTGACCAAATGAGAATTTATTTTTATTTATTTAGGTAATTTTTAGTTCAAAACACTATGGTACAATCAGAGCACATAAATTTAAAGTTTTTCTTCAATCTTTTAATTATTTTATTATTATTAAAGTAATAAATATTTTTTTTCCAAAATTTAGCCAGCGTGCAAATTGTAAACTGATTTTCAATTACCTTTCATTCAGTTAGTTTTTAGTTTAAAATACTAGTTTATTTATATAGATTACGCTGAAAAGCCTACAGATTAAACTTTGAAATTAAGAATCATAATAAAATTTAAGTTTTCAAAACTTATAATTGTTATAGAAATAATGATTCTTATATGTTAAATGGATTACTCTGTATCCGCTATTATACATATATATATTAATATACTCAGTACTCACAGTATATGTTCAACGCTTTAGATTCTTCAGTTTTCTCTACAGAGTTTTGCGCCTCGCATCTAACCAACGAATTGTGTAGCCTTCTGGTTATGTTAAATAGCCACAATTCGGACGTGACTTCACTCAGTGCGAACTGATCATTGACGAACCACCGGTAGGACACATCTGGTGGATTGGCTTTCGTCAAGCATGAGAATTTCACGTCCGACCCTTCGACCAACTTCTTTGTCGACCCAGTAATGGTCAGCGTTATCTGCAAAATGACAGATGTTAAACATCAAACAATTACATGTGTGTTTTACAATTATTATTAATTATTGAAACGTCGGTAGAATATTATGTTACGCCAACGATGCCGTCACATAGTTTTTGTTGTGATCATGGTTTGCACGAAAACGGGTAGGTACCTTTATAATTTAATATTATTAAATCTCGTTTAAAATAAGAGCCCGTTGTTCTTTGTCTTATCGAAGTCGGTGGCAAACTTTAAAATAAAACATTTTATTCACCTCACAAAATACGCGACATAGTGCATTTGTGTAGATATTAATCGATTTAAGTTTAAAGTTGAAATATTTTGTGTTTCCTTCTTTTTTTTTGAAAAAGTTGAAATTGGATTTAATTTTATATATTATTATTTAAACGTTGTATAGTAGTTTTCAATAGCTGGTGGACCTTTATACCAATGAAAACTTTAAACGGGTACCGAATTTCAAAGATAAGCGATCGGATAAAAATAAGGCAACAGCAACTATATAATTGTAGATTCCAAAAAATCACAAAACGTATTTTGTCTTTGCATTTCGAAGTTAATCGTATAAATAAAATATACATATAATAATATATCATAAATAAAGCATAATATGACGGATATATTAAATATTTAAATATTATTATAGTAAATATTAGGTATACCTAAGTATTTAACTACACGTTTGAAGTTTGAATTTTGTTAATGAAATGCTCAGGAATTATGTTCTGATATTTGGAATAAGAAATTAAAAATGCATTCAATTACGTAAAAAACTAAAAAATGTATACCGATAAAAAACAATAAAAATGCAATAAAAGACATATTTTTGAAAACGTTAATACTTCGGAAAATGAATAATGAATAATATTTACTGGAGTTAAAGAATTTACTCTGTACATAATGTACATCTTAACGTTTATATATACCTACTACTGATGTAAGTTATTGATTAAACGAAAGAAAACGAGATGAGATAAAAAAGCTCTCTGCTCGTTGATTTAATATTTATAAAAAATAATATTGCGAGTATATGCACTAGGGTTAGGTTAGACACCTCCTGTATAATATTATAATATGCGTGTATTATAAAGCATACCTCCTGTGATATCGCCGCTCCGTAATTAGCGTAATGGCGCGGAATTACGAATAATAATAAAAAAAAAAAATCGAAATAAAAACTTCGGAATATGCTTTAATAGTATCACGTTATTACATACCTACGTGTAATAAATATATGATTTAAATATTATACTATATTTTTCGAGTCTTGATCCAATATGTATACAGGTATATAATATATTAGGAGGTGAACACGAAGAGACTACTTTGTTACCACCTATATATCTATAATATACTATGCGTTCGATTTTTATAATAACGTCATGCACAAAACCAATGATCGGAAACAATAATTAGATCCTCTCGCCGCGGCATATTATAACGCGTACGGAACTCTACCATATAATAATACGGCACTCGATCACGAGGTCGATAGATTATTGTACCTATATACCTAATATGTAGCTCTGGTATAGAAGCGGTAGTCGCAATAAGATCTATTATGTTGAAGATACGTACAAACTACAACTACACACATACACACACACACACACACACACGCATATATATATAATGTTATTGCGTATATCGGTAAATTACTATTTTTCGATTTCAACCGTATAGTCCAGGCATAGTCTGCAGCAATATGATAAACAGGGTGATTCACCAAGCACGCTCACCCCAAGTTATTAATTTAATGTTGTTCGAAATATGATCTTTAGAATTTTTAATTATACTTTAAACCATTTTTTCAAATTATTGATATGTTTGTACTATTTATTGAGGATAATGTCCTACAATGGCGATACGAGCTTCTAGTTTTTCAAACAAGAACCTCATTTTACTTAATTTTGAAGTCTTTAATCAGAAATTCGAACGAGAAATAAACTGTTTATACCAAGGATAAAATCCCTAAAAAATTATTTTACAAAATATACAATATATTATGTTATATACCAGATTTATATTTTTTTAATTAGACTATTTTTTTAAATATTTATAAATGTTGATAGGTACATCAGTATTAATTAATAATACTTTCAACTAATCGTTGCTACCAAATTTTTCAAAGTCATCATAGATTTTGTATCTTTAGTATACAATGTCAAATACTTAAATATAACTCAAAAACTACTTTTTCGAATTTTTATTTAATGTATTCAAATGTTCAGAAAAAAATTAGAAAAGGGGGGATTTCATTTGAAAAACAGAAGTCTACTCTTCGTACAGAATGCTTCAAGATTTTAGCAATACAATGGGTATATTTAAAAATTTCAATAATCAGATTTTGAACAAAATAAATGCAATATTGAAGAAAAAAGAAACGAATATATATGTTGAATCACCTGCATATTTACACATAGGTATTATATATATTATTATAACATTAAATCTAGTCCTATCCGTCGTAGCAGTTTAATATACACAACATAAGTAACTACGGTCTGGTATTATTATTTTTTTTCCATCGTCTACGTCGTCCTGGGCTCAATATGGATTCACACGCGCATTTATCGTCGTCGTTGTCGTCTGTGTCTCCGTTTCTCTCTACACGTCGGCGTGATGTGAGAACGGAAAAAGAAACTCAAACTAGGGAAAAGCGGTGCTGGTTAGAAAAGAGAGGGAGCAAAGAGAAAAAAAACCAAAATGAAACAATAACTAATATGAATATGTATGTATGAGGTGGCAATGAAGGAGGGAAGAAGTACTCTGTTATTAAACATTGTCATTAATACACATAATATTATTATTTTACAGATATTACGACATACGCGTTAAAATAATAATGTATAATATACGTGTGTGTCAGATGGGAAGCGGTGAAGTCCGCCCGTACACATGTGCAGCGGGGCTACTCGACGTCGGAATCTCCCGGACCGCGTGGGGTGGGTATATTATATTCGACGACGAGAAAAAAAAAATCCAAATCGTATAACATAATAATAATACTATACATATATGTATACACGCGATACCCTGCAACAGACGTCGTCTGTCTGCCAGGCGCGATTACGGCTAACAACGCAGCGCACATATTATTATATACACTAGACGTCGACGGTGATTTTTTTTCCATTCATTTTTTCGACTCGAATGGAACACGACGACGTTTTTAATGAGATAATATGCGCGCCGTGCGTCATTCTTTTAATGGCTAAACAGCTACACATAACATATTCTAATGTATATATTATTAGGGTAATATATTATATTACTATACGCATATATTTGGTAAAACGCACTTATTACGACGAGCATCACACAGTAGCGACCCAAACACGACTATATTGGTTTTTTTTCCAAAAAAATAATTTATTAATTTATTTATTTATGACAGCCTGCAGCACACTGTTCTTTTTTGAAGGACAGGCGAAGTCGCGAGGGAGGGTTATCTTGTCTTACATTTTTCCCTTTTATTTTCAATAACCCGACGATACGCGTGTCTGTGTGCATTTTCGGACGAAAAAACGTGGACGAAATGATGGCGCGTATTATAAAATATACGTCTTACACGAACTATGGTTTATGTATGGTTACGATTCGAAAATTTTGCATCCTAAACGAAAAAAGAATTGACCTGAGAAACGAGTACGATGCAACTGCCACAGGTACAGAGAGACGTATACACTTTTTAGGATTTTTTTTTTTTTGTTGTTGTTATCATCAAAATACTTTTTAAAGCTTTACGATCACGGAAGTTTTATGCTGCTTCTACCAATTTTTTGCACCGTTCACGATTTTATCTATCTTCATCCTCGTCAGCCTATCCAAGCTTTCCTGCAGCAGACTCGGCTACCCGTCAATTCAACCAGCCTTTTAGATTTCAACATACTTTGACTGTATAATTTCAATATCCCAATTTTTTCTTCGCACGTATTCATACATCAAACATACATTCCCAATTCCAGGTTTAACGTGAGATCGCACAATATGTATATATGCATATATTTCTTAGGATTTCTTTTTCAAACACCTGCAGGAGTTTCAGCTCATCATCGTTTTTTGTCGAATTGATAAAATATATCTCTCCAATCATTCGTATAACTGACGGGTTTTTTCCTATCTCCTCGTCGCCTATCCATATTATTACGGACATAAATTATAGTATATATAGACGGCGTAATATACGTTTTTTCTGTCCCGCGGACCGGTATAAGAATTACATTTTAATTTAGGCCGATACTGCTGCGCATCGGCAGCAAAGTAATAATAATTGTATAACATTATAAAATTATACGGGTATACATCGCTGGAGTATAGGTAGCCAACCGTCAGCTATATTTTTTTCCATTGTGTTTCACAGCGTCCCGACGGCTGACGACGGCAACACATAGGGATTCGACAAATTACATTATCACGGCCATTGTTTTCGTCGCGCGTACGTGATGGACATGTGAGTAGATGGTAGATTGCTGTTGTACCTACTACACGTATCGTAGCACATATCGTGTATATTACTTGTATAATATTACACACATATCTATTATAACGTCTCCGCAGTAATGTCATAATGACACACTATCGTCACCCGCTCGAATTATTCACGTATACGGCAGATATTAAAATCTGTGTACAGTGCAGTTGTGACGATTGTTCCGACTCCCGGATAGTCGTCAACGACGCGACTCGATGAAGTGTATATTATATTATAGGATTAGAAAGAGTAACGCGCAGAGCAAGATGGGTGGGCGGCACGGGAAAGTTGTTATTATTGTTTTAATGAGGATTACGGAGGATCGCTGGGAGAGACCGTATCACGTTTTAATGTATACAGGGAAATAACGTATTTTGTTAGTAGCCAGATAATATTCAACGTACCGCATTAGCCATACACTGCATGCAGACACGTCGTAGATATTACCTATAGCTATATAGTATATATCATGTGTATAGCATATAATATATTTTAATTACGTACAGCAACTCGTATTGCGACAGGT